AATAGCTGCTTGTTGCTTTACACCAGAAATCAGATTCCTCTGCTGCTCGGGGGTGAGCTTCTTCAACGCATCCACATCCAGCACATGCTCCATCGGAATGACAATCCTGAAACACCAAAAACGCAACTTTTATGACGTTTTATCAAATTCATTCGAAAACAGAAAAATTCGCGATTAAACCAATACGATGATTTCCACCTCATTTCGCACTGATTCTGCCGTCTGTGTTTACAGCTCAGGGATGAAACAAGGAACAGGCTACCAAGTCACTGCGTATATATACAGGCTTGCTTATTTGGGAGATCTAAATGGCATTACTTCCAGTGTTTTCATTAATAAAATCAAAATTCGACTGTGTTCCTCTCCACGATGGTGGGTCAACAACGCCAAATAAACTGCATATGTTAACACATAGACGCGATTTCAGGCCCCCCATCCTCTTCCAACAGCTCCTTGCCAGGGATATTCACATTGTTTGTTTTAAAGGTTGAAGAGAAAATATCAAGAAAACAAAGAAAACGAGGAAAAGGATAGTATCTCTAAAATTTTTTAACTTCTTTCCTTCCTTTCTCACTTTATTTGCTCTTTCACTCATATCTATTTCTGCCTGTCATCTGTCTTGCAAAATCAGTTACATGACTATTCTCAAAACATAGGAGGCTGTACTGATGATTCCCACTCCTACACTGTTCGATCTGTGTGTATACAGCTAAGGGATGAAACACAGACAGACTGCGTCATAAAATATCTTCTCATACACACATGACATTCAAGTGAAATCCTTCTATTCTTCTATTTCACAAAACTTTAGCCGTTTCGACAGGTCCTTTATGTTAAGTATCATCATCATTTCGTCCCGAATGTATATGAATTAATGGACCGAAACGTCTTATCTCACCCTTGCTTTCTTTTCTCATACTGTTCTTCCTGTATTTTAGCCCCTAAATCGTTACTTAGAGACTTTCAAGGTCAACCTGGTTGCTACAATCGGCTTAACACTTC